CCCCCCCCCCCCCCCCCCCGGCTCCGCATCTTGCCGTGGCCTAGTGGGTACTGAGTTGTTGATCTCTATGCATGTCACATAATATTCAATCTTTTATGATTTCTTTTGAAAAGCTAAGAATGTAAAAAGAAAAAAAAAATTTGTGGGCTCAATGGTCCTGTCATGGTCCAACCAAGACATAGCAGGCCTCTTTCGTTTATAAAGAGATCAAGGGAGATTTTAACTACTTAAGTATTTGTGCATCACATTTCATTAAATTCAGAAGGTAACTAACAACCGAGAAAGTCACAAATACAAGAACTTCACGAATATTGTAACAGAAATAAACAAACGAACAAAATTTGTCACTACAACTGAATATACTTTTTCATTAAAGACCTCAAAATGGATCCAAAATTACAAGATCGGATAGCACCAATAGTATTTGTTAGTCGACGTGTAAGGCCACGCCCCGTCAGAAGTCATCTAAATGCAGGAAGCAGCTGGTTTCAAAGAATGAAGGCAAGTTTGTCCTGATCAACTACAACTACAATATCTACAAGGAAAAAGTTACAACAAAGTACCACTTATGCCTACTGTCTGAACAAATGATCAAGCTCGTCTATGAATGTTAGTCGTATCCTTGTCAATGTATCTGTTAGGTATGCCTATCGCAAAGACGTCATCCATTCCTGCAAGTCTGAGTTCACGCCTCGATTGTTGCAGTTACGCGAGAAGCCGATTTGCGGTGCTTTCATCTGCCAATACCAAACATTAATATATTGGTCAGTACTATGAAACCAAGCAAAATTGGCAGAGATGAAACTTAACAATCAAATAATGAACAAAGTAAAAAAGCAGAAACAGAATATGAAGAAGAACAGACTGAAACACGGGGATCGGGGCTTTGAAAAGAAGAAGATTTTGTCAAATGAGTTTAACTGGATAATAACATAAAATCCTAGAACTCCCCGAATATAAAGTTTTTCCTCACTCATCAAGCAATTTCAAAAATGTATCTCCGAAAAATTGTTAATATAATTAGTTGCATCAATTTTACAATCCTATCCCGTCACATTTCTTGGTAGACTGCACCAAAAATTACTGCCCAAGCAATGAAATGTAATTTAACCAAAACGCATTTAAAAAGAAACGATGTAATCAACAGAAGTACAATGGCACTTACCATGGATTACATACTCTAGTAGTCACGACTCAAAAGTAAATGCAAGATGACGGTAATTCACACTTAAAAACTCACTGAGGAGTTGCTACAATTTCAATTCATCAAGGACTGAGCCGTCAACAACTAAGCAATAAGAAGATTCGAAAGAGAGAAGAGATTTAGTTCACGCAGCAAGTTGTACCTTGTCCATGTAAGACTTTATGACTACAAGCAACAACTTGTCCCCTGCTATATTTCTCAATCGTTGAATCAATTCGAGCCGTGTCATCTTCTTCTCCTGTAGTTAAGCATTGAGACATAAGAAAATTATCTTCATCAATGAAATATAAGCCCCTATTTTACACAAGTAGAGTATAAATATGTACCTTATGATCACCATAATGTTTTGCTATCACTTTGATGGCATCAGGAGGTAAGAACTTCGAAAGTGCTTTTATGAGAGCTGGAAATGGAATAAAATTTGAAATTGGCCTTCTCAGAGGATGCGAAATTCTTTGATAACCTGAAAGTATAAGATTGCCAAATTCATTTAAGAATTACATATAACGAATAATCATTTTCCCAAAAATTAAAAAAAAATCATTTTGTGTTTCTCACCTTCCAAACCAGTTGAAGATCTGAAACTAACAATGTATTCTGGCAAGAGATGAGTATTCAAGCGAGTGCTCCAAACAACGTACTTTTTAGGACACGCTAAATTGTCGACCCCAGAATCGAATTTATCAGAACTTGGATTAGACTGTCCTGAATTCGGTTGAACAATCTCCGTCCTTCCCAATAGGACACGACAAAGTAACAAATGCCTTAATCCATCCTCATCAGCAACAGAGGATTGAAAACTGTTACATAAGCAAAATCATGTTAGCACAAAAACTAATCCTCAAAACAATACTCCAATTCAGTTAAATAAAAATTCTGAGTACTTTTATATGGCATTACCTTCCGATAGGGTAATCAGCCGGATAAAGACAAATCCCACCACTATATTCTCCAATATTCATGGAATGGCCAAAACCGTGCAAAAGAATGTCGTTGAGCTCATTCTTGGAAGCACCATACCAAGCATATTTGACATTGGCGCCGCCCCTGATATTTTGCTCCATTGCTCGTGTGTATATACAAAAGGACTGTAACTTCGCTTGGCACATGACACCAGAGTAATCTTTCTTATGTATGGCCTCAACTTCAGTATGCAGTCCACAATTACTCAAACTAGAAACATACTTATTCTTGATTATCCCATACATCTTATCCTCCTCATGAACTCTTATTAAGCCATTCTTGAACATATGAGTATCTTGCCCATTATCGATACCAGAAATCCCGCTTTCACATTTAGAAGCTAAAGAAACTTTCTCACGCTGATCTTCAAGATTATCCCGAGAACCTTGAATTTCAGTATTGGAATTATATGGACATTCATCAAACAGTTTAAGGGTTTTGATTTGGGATGAAGGTTGAAACTCCATTGTATAGACATCAGTTGATCCCATTGATAAAGAAAGTACAACCTTCGGACAAAAGTTAACAGGGTCTGCAGTCCAATTACAAAAAGGATAGAAAAAAAAATCCAAGAAATTTAACAAAACTCAAAATAAGACATTGGAAATGAAAATTAAATTCAAAACCCAAGAATTTATGCAAATGAAAGAATAAATAGGCCCAAACACAAAAGAATTATAGATTCAAAGCAACAATCAATAGACGAAATCAACACAAGCACATTCTTGAACAAAAACCCAGAAAAAAGAAAAAAAAAGGCCCAAATGAATCAAGAAAATGAACCTTGGAATTTAGAAAGAACAGTTGGGGTATTGGTCTATTGGAAGCTTGAAATTTGAAACCATTCACTTGAACTAGACGTAAATTGGATTATATAATGTGTGGTGAATCCTCATCGATTGGGTTCGTAAAAAGCAAAGATTCAGTTAAGTTGCCAAATTCATGATATTTCTTGGCGAAGAGGGCTTTAATAAGAAATATAAATATCTGCAAACCGCCACACGGTTTCAGGAAACTTCATTTTCATGGCGGTTCGCCAGTTCATCCGTGTATTTATGGTTAGCAAAAAGCAAGTTGGATGTTTGGGGTACAATTTTGACCTTTGACATTGATTTAAAAAACCCTTTCGACATTTGTTTAACTTGAAGACTAGGTTTGAGTTTCGCGGAGTTAATTATCTCAATAGTCACTGAATTTTATCAAAAGTTTTCTTTAGGTCACTGAACTTTAAAAACTATGTGATTAGTTACCGAACTTTCGAAATTGTAACCTCATCCATCACTGAACTTTAAAAATCACCACATTCGTCATTGAACTTTGAAAAAGTTTCTTAGATGGTCACTGATTCTACGTGGTTAGTTACTGAACTTTCGAAACTGCAACCCCATCTATCACTGAATTTTAAAAAAATCATCACATTCGTCACTGAACTTTAAAAAAGTTTCCTAGATGGCCACTGAATCAGTGACCATCTGGGAAACTTTTGCAAAGTTTAGTGACTCCGTAAAAATTTTTTGCAAAGTTTAGTGACGAATTTGGTGATTTTTAAAGTTCAGTGATGGATGAGGTTGCAGTTTCGAAAATTCAGTGACTAATTACGTAGTTTTTAAAGTTCAGTGACCCGATGGAAACTTTCAGTAAAGTTCAGTGACTATTGAGGTAATTAACTCGAGTTTCGCGTATTGTCATCTTTGACCTCTTTTGGTCATTTCTTTATACCATACAGTGCGACCCCTAAAGAATTGGGTACTTTCGAGAATGTAGATAGAAGTACTACATGATTTGTGATTATCGTCAATTTATAATACGTGTTAAAATGTTATTGAAAGTTCATATTGTCGACCATAAGTCGAAAGAATGTAAGAATGATGTCAATAATGAATACAAGTTGTTTTGGTTTTATGTGGAATAAAATTTATCTGAACTTTTTTTATCATTTATAATATTATCATGTGAAATCTCGTGTTCACTTAATACATAAACCAACGTTGTTAAATAAGCAAGATAACCAACAAATACAAAAGTTCGATAAAATATTTTTCTCATGATAATAGAATATTTGAACA